TGGATCTACGACTCATGAAGCCAACTGGATGCTTATTTGATATAGGTCTTTATAACGCCCTTTTGAACAAGACACTACTGCGTTTATGATTTCGATGGCTGAACTACTTCAAATAGAAGTTGAGTAAATAAGTTCAAGACTTAAGGTAACTTGAAAAGTTTTAGACGTCTCTTGAAAGGAAGGTTCGTTGCATGTGATAGTATTAGTAATAGGATAGACAACCTTATTTCAGGAGACATTAAGACACAAATGACATCAACAATATTCAAATTTCCTTTACTTGGCTAGATCTTATGCAAATAGCGTGATAGTGGTTGGAGAAGCTTTTAGGTTTCAAATGTCTGTTTCATTTCTATATGTAACGCGGCTGTGCAAACAATTTGCTATACATATTGAGATACATATGTATCCGATGATTCAGGGCAAAATTTTTATTGGTTTTCGTTGTGCTTGTGATAAAGTGGAGCCGTTTCACAAATCTTCAGCGGAGAATACTTAACGTTTTGCCAAATAGCCTAAAATACATCTTATTTGTTTCTACCCGTTGCACAGTTTTTCACAGTGAAAAGATTTCCTTTTTTTGGCAGTCACTAAGGTTTGTAGTATCTAGTACTATGTTACGTGCACATGGGTTATTATGGATTCAGGACAGATTGACTTGTTCATTCATCTTGAGCTACATTTTGGCCTTGTCGATTACACGTTTATTAACCCTGACTGTTTTTTGTATCTGCGTATATATGTGTATTGCTTATCCTACTCAGCACATATCCGTAGCTTATATTGTCTGACTATAAATACCGAAGCATGGTTGATCAAGTGAATTTGGATAACTCACCCTCTTTACTCTGCATCTCACTCGGTATGTCTGCCTGAGTTCTTGAAGTAAATTCATCCAACAAAACCCGTATTTGGCTTCTCATTACCTCTGCCACACATACGTAGTTACCCCAGGTAAAATCCGGAGTTGAGTGGAAGATTGATGTTGACGGTATCTTCCCACGATCAAACCGGAGTCAGATATTGGGTCGCAAAAAGTTATTTGAAATATTACTGGGATTGAAAACAACTAACGAGATTCGAGCAAGGCTAGTTCATGAGGTCACTAACTCCTGATTTGGGTTGCGTATGCAAGCATAACTCTCAGGTAACTATTATTTTGAAACGGCATACATCCTTTCCCTTTATGAAGATTTGCTTGGATTAATTTGGATGAAAATTATGTTTATTGGTGCACTTTAACACAAAACAGGATGAATGTGAGATAGTCGAACAGAACATAACAGATTTACGGTCTAAAAGGTAAGGGTGTGCTCTCTCGAAGTATTATATAGCTTCAACAGAGCTCCTGCTTGTCCAGATAACAAAGATAAGGTCAGAAAAGTTCAGAACTAACGAATCATACCATTTATTGTTACATGGATTTTTTACGGCTGAAAAAGTATAGACATAATAGACACTCACAAACTATATGTGTGACTGACCCCCAGTAATTGTTTTTCACGGTCCATAGATATACATTATAGCTTGTAAAACCATCAGTGCTAACCCTATTTCTTTGTCAGATTCCTCTAGAAGAAACACTGCTTGATCATGCTGGCAGTATAAGTTCCGATTATTTACACATTTTTATCATCGCTCAGGTGTGCCAAAAGCGATTTACTTCTCTTCCTAAAGTCTCGTTTGTTCGTATTATTGAACTCTATTTTTAGCCTTATATTCTATCTCATACAACAATAGTACCAAGAATTAGATTCTAAAAATATCATCAATGGTTTCTAGGACCACGCTGTAGGCAACATTTTGGATCTTTCAATATCCAACTTCTGTGTAACAATCAACGACAGACTTTGTTGAATAAGGTCATAAAGTATCAGTACATAAATATTTTATGTGTCCCTGAAACCCGTTCACATAAATCGAGTTTGATTACTCACTAAACTAATATAGCCAGTGTAAAAAATTACCACTGTTCACCTTATGCTCGTCTAAAAACTCGATAGATATGTCTTATTTTGTTACTAACAGCACAACAGCGTCATTTTTTCAGTGCAGAACAAGGTGAAGTGAACTGTATTTTAGTTCTCTGTCGCTCGGAACTAAAAAACTCGGAAGATCAGAAGTTTATACTTTTGCCTGCTTTTAGTCTGTGCTCATAATTTCTAAGCTTGAAATGTGGATCTACCAAAAAATCAGTTAAGCTTGGAGGTTCTCTAATTTGATTTAAGTAGTTGGTGGCACCAAGGGCAATGTTATCGGTCACAAAGGTAAGCTAAATTTGGGGGAAAAACTTAGTTTTAGCTTTAAGGCTTTCGTTCTGTCCTCAGATAATAATTTGTTACTAATAAAAACTAACTTTAGGCACTACTGCAGTACAATGTTTAACTTAATGATTACCTGTACCGGCTCAATAATGGGAATAATCAAACCATGCCAAAATGGTGTAAAGTTTTTAATTGCAGATGTCTTCGAAGTGTTGCTCGTATAAGATGAAACCACTTATTGAGAAATTCTGAGGCTAAGTGCAATGTTTTAAATAGAAATGACGGGCCGATTGTGACCGATCAATTGTCTGTATAGTTGGAGCATTTATGTTATTATCACTTAAAATGTCGTGGAACGTTACGATATGTTACTGAGTTGTATTCTTACCAATACAAAAAGCAAGTCATTACTGTGCCATCAAATTCAGTGGTGGAAACTGTTTCATTTTACATACTATATATGAGAGTGATACATTACCAATTATAATACATTTTGCTATTACCACGTTATCTACTGTTAAAATAGTTCATTCATTCAGATTACTGCTGTTTTGAATAGTATTCAACTATCATAATTATCAACTATAATATTTCTCTCACTTGACAAGCATTATATTAGTTCAATCTCTCAGTGTTTGGTGCATAAACATAACAGAGACTAAATAAATACTTGGCAGTGGAAAATTCGATATCCTTTAGCCGAATGTATATGTATTACATTATTAGTCATTAATTATATACGTCATCCCTTTTTGTTGCTTTACTACACCTGAAAGCACTATATTACTTATTTTCCCAAAATAAAATGTGTGGATGTATTCTAAATTCATTTATATAATCATACAACACGCGCTGATTATGATGAAATCGTAACACTATGGTTAGCTTACAAGAGTAAGTTCCTCATTTGACAGAATTTCGGATAATAACTCGAAAAATGTTATTTATAGTTCTTTTCTTGTCACAGGTAGCGGTTGTCAAAATCATTCTTTATCATTTAATATTGAAATTTTATACTCCTTAACGTTCAAGTTGGTTGAGACTTTAGCAGACATTCTAAGTGTATTCATTTCTATAACTTCTGTAATTCTGAGCCATCAACATTACCTACATTATATATGAACAAAGAATGACTAGTTGCTTGTAACATTCAAGGGTTGTACATTTTCGGTGTTTAATTTTTACTGCCGAGAATTTTATTCCACCATGCAATTTAGTTTTGACAAAAATCTAGGTGTTTTAGTAAAGACTTTCATTTGCATCCTGTCTAGCTATTTGTAATAGTCACCAAGTACAATTTTACTTCTACGGCTGGGTTTAATCAAGGATAACAAGAAAATGTTTATTTGTAACTCTGTCATGATATTTAGTCACATAATAAGAAAAATTAATTTAGCAAGTTTTATTTAGTTCTGTTCCGTCATAAATCTTTAAAGCTGAAGGACAAAAGCTAAATGCCTGTTTGAAAATAATAAAACCTTGATGCTACTATCACATTATTTAAGTAGCTTGTCATATTTACAGAAAGATTGTCCTCATCATATTAAAAAACTTAAAATAATATTTACCAATATATATCACAACTTGGACTCAAGATGCAAAACCCTAATAAGTAGTATAATACATGATTCAAAGATAAAGTTATGGTTTTCAGTGTGAAACAATGTTTCTACTTCTAGAATAACTATAAAACAATCAATCTGTGGTCTTTTTAGTGTGAAATCCTAGATGATTAATAGATGATCAGATTTAGAGTTCCATGATTTCATTTAGTGTATTAAATACCACTGAAAAATCGACGTATTTACATGAGAAGAAATGGTAGGTCCTAGTTTAATGATTTTTTTAATGAGGGGAGTACAGAAAGAAAGAAAAATAATATCATGAACATTAGTCAGTAAGAATAGATTCATAATTATTGCATGTATTTTATAAATGTCAGATTCTCTTACAAAAGAACGAAGAAAGTATAAAACTATTTTAATACTTTAGCATCAGTGAAACCTTTGATAATTCCAATCATGGATCTTTTTGGATTAAATAAAGTTTATCAATATAACTTTTTTCATATCTACTTATATTGTGGTGTGTGCTACTTATATTGACATAAGTAGTAGATGATGTTATTCGTGAACAGAAGGTCTGGAAGCAGAGAGAGACAAGAGGATCGAACAGTAAAGAATGGAAACAGGATGCAAGTTGTATGACAATGCAAGAACAATGAAGTCTTAGTCATTTTGACACAATTGATGAACATTTTGGAAATTAAGCATTTACTTTATGATTGTTAGATTTTATTAACATGTCCTGTAATTTTGTGTTAAATACATTCGATTGTCCTCACTCGTGTTCTATCCACTATAATATGACCTGTTTATTAAAGAGAAATCCATCATTTCTGTACTAAAGTTTTAATAAGTTGTAAAACAAAAAAAGCATATGAGTTATCCCTCCTAAGTTTGTAACTATTATACATTTTCAATCATACTGTTTCCATTAAGTATTTCATAAATATTGATCAGTATAAGCTGATTAAAATGTAAGTTGCTAGGTGGATTTTTTTAAAGGTTATATTATTATTTTTTAACTTTCTTCATGTGAACATTTCAGATATTGACTACTATGTTATACATAGTTTCAGTGTGTGTTTTTTATTGGATCTATATATTTCCAACCTCTTTTTCAGTTTATTTCAGACTCTTGCTTCTTTCATGTTTTAATTTAACTTGTTGATCAATGAAAAAAAGTGATTTCATACATCGAATCGATATCTTTGATCAAAATCACTTTTCCAAAGTAAGCTAAAGTCATTCTTTTTGATTGACAATTACTTCACTCTTCAGAATCTTCCAAGTTATCAGATGTATTCTGGACATTTCAACAAATCAAATCAACTGAATACTTTCAATGGTAATTTTTGTTTTAGCATACCTTAGTTCAATTAACTAAATTTTATAGTTTATGCAGAAGCCCGTAGCTTATTGAATGAATGGATGATTAAAAATACTTTGGACATTGAAGATTTAGATAGCGGGACTGATGATTTTAAGCCAATTATTCCTAGTCGAAAAGAAATTAAAAGAGAATGGGACCATCTATTTAAAGATAACAATCTGAAGAATGACGTAAGTTGTGAGAGTATAAAAGCTTTATTATTCAACCAAAAAATCTATGATTCACATCCTAACATATTTTAGATTTAGTTATTCTTAATTTTAAATATCTGCATATTACTGGAATTCTGTAAAACTTTTGTTTATAGTTATCATATATGCGAATGTTAATGCATCTAATATGATCACGGAGAGTGGATAGAGTCATCAGACTTCATATAAAATCTTTTATCGACAGGCGTACGCTGTTCATAAAAGATACTTTGATCCATTGAAACGATGTTCACGATTTATTTATCAAATGGTTGCTTATGAAACATGTGTTCTTCGATCTGGATGAGAAGTTTTTATTTTCGTTCTGTATATCACTATTAGCCTCTCCTGTCGTAGAACTGAGATTCTCTACACCTTTTTCGCGAGCGCTTAATCAGTCCATCCTGATGCTCATATTTGTGACCAGTTCTAACCATAGACTTTTTTAAATCTGTATAGACATTTGCGTTCCCTCCAACTCTCTCGTTCATGTGATTGTCATATCTTTTCCGTACAGATTGATAAATCAGATCTATGTCGCGATACGTCAGTTTATAACAAATTGATATGAATACTGACCCACTAAAAATTCCAAAGCATTCTTAGGATCTCATCAATCCAGATTTTGATATATTCTTAATCAAATTTATTTTCATCATTGTCTCTGTGCGCATCACTACCACTAGCAACATATCATGTTGTTTCATTACAAACACGTGTCTGTTTTATCCGTAAATTTTTTTCTTCTTCATTGAATCAGTTTTGTTTTACATAGATCAATGAAAAAAGGGCTAATACTATTTTTCCAGTTCAAACATTAAATAACGGGACCTTAATTTAAGGCATTAGGGACGTAATAACAATTACTTCTTCGTTCGTATACTTAATGTTTTGCTTCCTTGGTTATCAGTGGTATATACCACTGTTCATTAAATATCTGTAAAGTTATGAGTACAAGGATAGATTGGTGATTAATTAATAGAAAGACATCTAAGGGTGGGAAAACCAAAACGTGACATCAATCCATGAAGTCATTGGGAGTTGGGCCTAATCGTGTTGGTAGGTCTAGACTAGATGGTCAGCGCCCGAATGATTATGGAAACCAATAGTTGGAGATGTTGTGTAACATAGAGCCGAATCGGTTACAATAGTGAAAATGAATTCACTCTCTGTCTACCTTTAGATCCTTAGTTCCAAAATCATTTTGTATTCTTTTTTTATTCAAGGAATTAGCTAATTTTCTCTATCACCACTGAAATTTTTTCTGTTTCTACTACTATGCTATTTTTACTGATAATTTCATTTTTCTGTGCTAACGTAGTGTGACAACTTGAGCTAATGCACAAATATGTCAGGTTCTCCATTACGAATAATTGACCGACTGATTCATTAGTAATGAACTTCAAAGAAATGTTAGTTCTGGTCAACAATATCTGTCTTCTCCAGGAGTAAACAAGTTGACTAAAGACATAATTTTTATACCTTAGTTATTGAGATGGTGGAGAAGATTTGTAGCTCAAGTGGATGGTTTTGATGATTATATCTGTAGTTATATCTAAGTTAATATTATATTTCTTTAAATACTTTTTCATAACTCAAAATGATAGTAAAAAGAAAAGACTAAACCAATTTGCGACGGCTTTGATTGAGATCGAATAGTCGTTTCCGCAAAAGTGCTTTATGTATCAAATGATATGCAAGTATACTCAGATGACGAGTCCCAAATAGAACGAAACGGAAATCCTGGATTCCACTTCTAGCCACCATCCATTTGTGCCTACAAATGCTTATGACTAAATGGCGATACCGAGAGAATCCTCACAGGATGCATATATGCTTTTATATTGTATAGATAGACATTTAAATCTCTATCACTATACTGTTTAGCTTAAGAAAATTTCACACTACTACAATGTTGATATAGTTCCATGGATTGATAAATTTCATTGGTTTTTCGAAATTTAAGTTTTCAGATGACTATGAAGTTGATAATCACTTGAAAAATAATCACTATACAGAACATAATTCTAAAGACTCAGATTTATCCCACATTGGTTATACACACCAACGTCAGTCTACATTGGAAAAAATTCTCCTACGTCAAGAAGAGGCTAAAGCACGACGTGAACTACGACAAAAAGAATTAGAATCTCGTCGTATTCTTGAAGCTACTAATCGTCAAATAAAAGCACAGATTTTGTACAAAGCAAAACAGGTATATATTTTTGATCATACATTTTTATATTATAATTATCTCTTATAGAAAATTCAATGCACCGTATGTGTGTAAATTTATTTATTGGCATCTTCCATGTAGTTTATGTCAAATAGTTCAGCTAATAAACATAAATAATTTCAAAGGTTTATACAGCATTTATGTTTTCCACAGTTTTATTTAATTCTAAACATCAAAACTTGTTCGTCATCAAGTTATAGATTAAAGTTTGTTTTGTAGTTTCCTATAACTTCAGAACAGTTCATCTACATCCATCCGTTACACTTCTATAAATCTTGAAAATCTTATGACCTTATATCCTAAAGATAGTTTACGCTACGGATTTAAACGAGGTGAAGATAGACTAAAAGCTAGGAAACACTGGATAACTGATGATTCAATTCAAGAAGTCTAGGTTTCACAGTTAGCATGTTACATGTAGACTTCTGGATTATTACTCAGCTATCCATGTTTTTGGTTGGTGATGTAGTACAGGATTCATCAGATAGTGTTGGAAGGTATCCGCCTCATACATGACAAAACTGAACTTCACTAATCACAATTTTCCGTACGAAATCCGGAAGTTTGTCATAAAACAGGTCACTAGTGATTGTCTAAAGGTTCAGAATTAAATTATAAGCCAGGCCACAGGTACACAATGGCAATGAGTCCCACAGATATCAGATGCTCTGTAGCCTCCGTTATCTCTCTTGCTAGTGTATATTCACAACAATAACTATTATCCAATTAAACTAATCTCAACAAATCTATTCGTTCCACGTTTTCTCAGATTTTTCTTCTTGACTTTATTACATGTTTACCCAAGTTTTTTTTAATTTTATGATAATATTGTGAAGTGTTAGAAAGAAACATTTTTATTAGGCGTGATTTTTGCATCAAATTTACTTCCTTCACGCCGCTCTCCAATAAGAATTTAGATTCGGCTAGAAAAGAAAGATGACGTCAGGTTGGATGGTTTTTGGAAATTTACAGTAAAACGTAGGAAAGTTAATCGTTGATATTGTGATTACAACCAAAGGCGTTATCAATGGGTTCGATAGGCAGCTATGATGAAAAAATATCGATCTATACGTCAATATGTTTGGGAAAACAATTTCAAGGTATAACATTGTGTCTTAAAGAAAATCATGCATAGAAAAGATTGAAAATTTCTTAAACACTCTCACTTTCTCTCTACATGTATGCAGATATATATAAAAATAGGACTTTTTAAATAAATTCACCAATAATTTCTACTAATTTGTTTTCAATGAACAAAGGACGAAAAAATGAGGCAAGCAGAAGAAAGACGGGAAGAAGAACTAATTAACCAGGAGATGGTTCGAATTCGCAAAGAATTAGAAGAAGAAAAACAGGCAGCTAAAAACTACAGGTAGGGTGGAAAAATGTAATCATAAAAAATTACCATAATGAATAGTAAAAAACATGAAAATTAATAATACACGTTTGGGAAGGTTGCTAAAAATTTGGCAGGGAAAACAGATCGATTGGAGTAAGAAAAAAACAGAAAGCACGAAAAAGGGAAAGCAAATACGTGCAGTTACTGTTAACAAAATTAGTGCACAATAAGGCTTCAAATCGTTAGACAACAAAAGCAAATGAAACTACTCGAGTCCGAAAAATATGGTATTAGCGGATTGTTATTATCCTACTGTGACTGTGACTAATCAAAATGGTCAGAGATCGTGGTGAAATGATTCAAGTAGAGCCTCAGTATATTCATGCGTGCAGTAATTGACACGGACAGAATATCTTGTAGTTATGAATGTATATACATGTATCTAAATATACACGAATCAATATATGTGTAGATATTTCCATCTATATAGATATAGATATATAGAAGTGCAGAATGTATTTGTAGCAATTGACCAAGCATAAAGCGAATTGTTGGGGTGTTCGTTGATAAGGATAATGAATGGGTTGGTGTGATTCGGAGGTGTCTGTAGTAAGTGGGAATATGTTGATGTTACTTGATAATATTTGTGATTTTCAGGTGTCGTGCTAGTTATGTGGTAGTCGAAGTTGTAGTGTCGGTGTTTGTTGTTGATGTATAAATGTGGTGTTTGTAAGAGTGGATGGAGTCAGTTGTAGGACGTGGATTGTTTGTGTTTGTTTTGAGGTGATGTTGTGTGTGTGAGTGTGTGTGTGTGTGTGTGTGTGTGTGTGTGAGGTGTTTGTAGTAGGATATTAGTGAGTTGTATTGTGATGAGTTTGGTGTTGGTGGCACACAGATGCGCCTCCATAGCTCAGTGGATAGAGCACTGGTCTAGTAAACCAGGGGTCGGGAGTTCGATCCTCCCTGGAGGCAGTGTGTTTACAACCACTTCGAATTGAGATCATGTTCCAGTCGTGGTAATTTTACTAACTGTCACCACTGATCACCAACCGTGACGAAACACACTCGTCCCTGTTCAACTCGAAACTCACAAGTTCACATACAAGTAGGCATCGACTCCAGTCAACTAAACCACTTACAAGACGATCAATCAATTGGAACACCGGAGCTGATGATATTATATACCCAGCTGTCAACAGCACCGTCATAGTCTATCGTCAGTTGGACTCAGTGGAAATAATTGAGGAGCTCCCGTCCGGTTAATTCTAACACGAACTCATTCAACGAGAAGTGTTGAATGTTGAGCGATGCACACACACACACATACAGAGAGAGAGAGAGAGAGAGAGAGAGACGAGCGTACTACCGGAAACCTGTTTTTCACTCGACTCCGATACACTTGGAGCATATCATGTGAGATTATTATCTCGACAGAATTGTGCAACTGTTTGCGTACTTCGGCGACACTTTTGTCAGGGGTTAGGTGTCGACCTGTTGAAGAGTGGATAGTGGAGCTGAGCATTCGGTAGGTTGGTTTGCATGGTGATGCGACTTTCTCTCTCCCCAGAACAGTTCGTCTACACAAACATTTGACAGATATTCTCAGACACACGCGACACAAATGGATAGGTTCTGATGAGGCTTGTTGGTAAAACAGAGTTTAGACGGTCTGCATAGACCACGGAAGAAGTGAACATCAGTCGTCACAGGCTTCTCCACCGATCGCCACCACGTCGTCATCTGGTCTGCATGAGACGTTCGTCAGTGATCTTCCGTGTCTGGTAGGATTAGGGTTTCAGGTGAGTGTGTGAAACGTATGCGCTAATACGAGCTAGTCATGTGAGCAGCCGTTTCAGGTTGGCTTGTGTTGCAGCATGACAACTTGTTGTGGAATTACGAGACACATGACGATGGTCAGATATCAGTCTGTCTATGAATTGGCGAGCTCGGTGTGACGCATTTCGTTCTGAATTTGCTCGTGTCTTTAGAACATGGGATTTGCGGATTGTTATTATCCTACTGTGACTGTGACTAATCAAAATGGTCAGAGATCGTGGTGAAATGATTCAAGTAGAGCCTCAGTATATTCATGCGTGCAGTAATTGACACGGACAGAATATCTTGTAGTTATGAATGTATATACATGTATCTAAATATACACGAATCAATATATGTGTAGATATTTCCATCTATATAGATATAGATATATAGAAGTGCAGAATGTATTTGTAGCAATTGACCAAGCATAAAGCGAATTGTTGGGGTGTTCGTTGATAAGGATAATGAATGGGTTGGTGTGATTCGGAGGTGTCTGTAGTAAGTGGGAATATGTTGATGTTACTTGATAATATTTGTGATTTTCAGGTGTCGTGCTAGTTATGTGGTAGTCGAAGTTGTAGTGTCGGTGTTTGTTGTTGATGTATAAATGTGGTGTTTGTAAGAGTGGATGGAGTCAGTTGTAGGACGTGGATTGTTTGTGTTTGTGTTTGAGGTGATGTTGTGTGTGTGAGTGTGTGTGTGTGTGTGTGTGTGAGAGAGGTGTTTGTAGTAGGATATTAGTGAGTTGTATTGTGATGAGTTTGGTGTTGGTGGCACACAGATGCGCCTCCATAGCTCAGTGGATAGAGCACTGGTCTAGTAAACCAGGGGTCGGGAGTTCGATCCTCCCTGGAGGCAGTGTGTTTGCAACCACTTCGAATTGAGATCATGTTCCAGTCGTGCTAACTTTACTAACTGTCACCACTGATCACCAACCGTGACGAAACACACTCGTCCCTGTTCAACTCGAAACTCACAAGTTCACATACAAGTAGGCATCGACTCCAGTCAACTAAACCACTTACAAGACGATCAATCAATTGGAACACCGGAGCTGATGATATTATATACCCAGCTGTCAACAGCACCGTCATAGTCTATCGTCAGTTGGACTCAGTGGAAATAATTGAGGAGCTCCCGTCCGGTTAATTCTAACACGAACTCATTCAACGAGAAGCGTTGAATGTTGAGCGATGCACACACACACACATACAGAGAGAGAGAGAGAGAGAGAGAGAGACGAGCGTACTACCGGAAACCTGTTTTTCACTCGACTCCGATACACTTGGAGCATATCATGTGAGATTATTATCTCGACAGAATTGTGCAACTGTTTGCGTACTTCGGCGACACTTTTGTCAGGGGTTAGGTGTCGACCTGTTGAAGAGTGGATAGTGGAGTTGAGCATTCGGTAGGTTGGTTTGCATGGTGATGCGACTTTCTCTCTCCCCAGAACAGTTCGTCTACACAAACATTTGACAGATATTCTCAGACACACGCGACACAAATGGATAGGTTCTGATGAGGCTTGTTGGTAAAACAGAGTTTAGACGGTCTGCATAGACCACGGAAGAAGTGAACATCAGTCGTCACAGGCTTCTCCACCGATCGCCACCACGTCGTCATCTGGTCTGCATGAGACGTTCGTCAGTGATCTTCCGTGTCTGGTAGGATTAGGGTTTCAGGTGAGTGTGTGAAACGTATGCGCTAATACGAGCTAGTCATGTGAGCAGCCGTTTCAGGTTGGCTTGTGTTGCAGCATGACAACTTGTTGTGGAATTACGAGACACATGACGATGGTCAGATATCAGTCTGTCTATGAATTGGCGAGCTCGGTGTGACGCATTTCGTTCTGAATTTGCTCGTGTCTTTAGAACATGGGATTTGCGGATTGTTATTATCCTACTGTGACTGTGACTAATCAAAATGGTCAGAGATCGTGGTGAAATGATTCAAGTAGAGCCTCAGTATATTCATGCGTGCAGTAATTGACACGGACAGAATATCTTGTAGTTATGAATGTATATACATGTATCTAAATATACACGAATCAATATATGTGTAGATATTTCCATCTATATAGATATAGATATATAGAAGTGCAGAATGTATTTGTAGCAATTGACCAAGCATAGAGCGAATTGTTGGGGTGTTCGTTGATAAGGATAATGAATGGGTTGGTGTGATTCGGAGGTGTCTGTAGTAAGTGGGAATATGTTGATGTTACTTGATAATATTTGTGATTTTCAGGTGTCGTGCTAGTTATGTGGTAGTCGAAGTTGTAGTGTCGGTGTTTGTTGTTGATGTATAAATGTGGTGTTTGTAAGAGTGGATGGAGTCAGTTGTAGGACGTGGATTGTTTGTGTTTGTTTTGAGGTGATGTTGTGTGTGTGAGTGTGTGTGTGTGTGTGTGTGTGTGTGGAGGTGTTTGTAGTAGGATATTTGTGAGTTGTATTGTGATGAGTTTGGTGTTGGTGGCACACGGATGCGCCTCCATAGCTCAGTGGATAGAGCACTGGTCTAGTAAACCAGGGGTCGGGAGTTCGATCCTCCCTGGAGGCAGTGTGTTTGCAACCACTTCGAATTGAGATCATGTTCCAGTCGTGGTAATTTTACTAACTGTCACCACTGATCACCAACCGTGACGAAACACACTCGTCCCTGTTCAACTCGAAACTCACAAGTTCACATACAAGTAGGCATCGACTCCAGTCAACTAAACCACTTACAAGACGATCAATCAATTGGAACACCGGAGCTGATGATATTATATACCCAGCTGTCAACAGCACCGTCATAGTCTATCGTCAGTTGGACTCAGTGGAAATAATTGAGGAGCTCCCGTCCGGTTAATTCTAACACGAACTCATTCAACGAGAAGCGTTGAATGTTGAGCGATGCACACACACACACATACAGAGAGAGAGAGAGAGAGAGAGACGAGCGTACTACCGGAAACCTGTTTTTCACTCGACTCCGATACACTTGGAGCATATCATGTGAGATTATTATCTCGACAGAATTGTGCAACTGTTTGCGTACTTCGGCGACACTTTTGTCAGGGGTTAGGTGTCGACCTGTTGAAGAGTGGATAGTGGAGCTGAGCATTCGGTAGGTTGGTTTGCATGGTGATGCGACTTTCTCTCTCCCCAGAACAGTTCGTCTACACAAACATTTGACAGATATTCTCAGACACACGCGACACAAATGGATAG